ACAAGGTCAAATCGATCTGTCGGGAGATTACTGAACTAGACCCAAAGTCCGCCATTGTAGAATCTCGAATGAAGAGGATTATAATCCACGGATTGCGACCAGAATATCGAAGCTTCATTGCTGCTGTACAAGGATGGCCCACTCAACCATCACTGGTAGAGTTCGAAAATTTGTTAGCCAGCCAAGAAGCCATGGCTAAACAAATGGGAGGCTTCACATTGAAGGGTGAAGAAGCACTCTACACGAGTGAAAGTCAGAGCAATAATAGGCCGTCTACCAGACGTGGATACAATGGTGACAAAAGAAGAAGCCACCAAGGGATTGCACAACCTGAGAGAGCTCAGAAGAACGACAACAAGAGTTTTCAAAGAACGAGATTTGGTGGTATTTGCTATAACTGCGGGAAAAAGGGCCATATGTCTAGAGATTGTTGGTCCAGGAAAAAGTCCATTGAAAACAATGTGGCAATATCCAAAAAGAAGATAGAAGATGAATGGGATGCAGAGGTACTATGTCCCATAGAAGAAGACGAGCTAGCACTCATGGCGACAATGGAAGACCATATCAACTATGAGAATGACTGGATCGTTGATTCAGGATGTTCAAATCACATGACTGGCGATCAGAGAAAATTGCAAGACAAGAAAGAGTACAAAGGAAGTCGTATGGTACGTACAGCAAATAACACACAGTTATCAATTGCTCAAATCGGCAATACGACAATCATGCCTGGCAATAAGTCTGATACAGTGTCGCTACATAATGTTTATCATGTACCGGGTATAAAGAAGAACTTGTTGTCAGTGTCACAACTAACAACATCAGGAAGCTATGTCTTGTTTGGGCCAGAAGATGTAAAAGTTTATCAAGATGTTAAGATAATAGGAAAGCCGACGATAGAAGGACGAAGAGTGGAGTCTGTCTACGTTCTATCTGCAGAGTCTGCCTATGTTGACAAGACCCGAAAGAATGAGACGACAGATCTATGGCATGCAAGATTGGGACATATGAGCTACCATAAGTTGAAGCTGATTATGGAGAAATCTATGCTCAAAGGTCTACCACAACTGGAAGTCAAAACAGACGTTGTCTGCGCTGGATGTCAGTATGGTAAAGCTCATCAATTACCATACAAAGAGTCAAGTTTCAAAGCAAAGAAACCATTAGAGTTAGTTCACTCTGATTTGTTCGGCCCAGTCAAACAAGCATCGATCAGCGGAATGCGGTATATGGTGACATTTATTGACGACTACTCAAGATATGTGTGGATTTTCTTTATGAAAGAAAAGTCTGACACGTTCTCAAAGTTTCAAGAATTCAAGATGATGGTCGAAGGAGAAGTAGGAGCGAAGATTCGTTGTCTACGTTCAGACAATGGCGGAGAATACACGTCAGATGAGTTCGATCAATATTTACACGAGTGTGGGATACGACGTCAATTTACATGTGCCAACACGCCACAACAAAATGGTGTAGCAGAAAGAAAGAATCGACACCTTGCAGAAACCTGTCGAAGCATGTTACACGCAAAGAACGTTCCAGGAAGATTTTGGGCTGAAGCTATGCGAACTGCTGCCCATGTGATCAACAAGCTTCCTCAACCAAAGCTAGGGTTCGTCTCACCATTTGAGATACTATGGGATATGAAACCTACAATTAGTTACTTCCGAGTATTTGGCTGTGTTTGCTATGTATTTGTGCCTGACCATCTACGTAGCAAGTTTGACAAGAAAGCAGTCAAGTGTGTATTTGTTGGATACGACAATCAAAGAAAAGGATGGAGGTGCTGTGATCCAACAAGTGGAAAATACTATACATCAAGAGATGTAGTTTTTGATGAAGCATCTACATGGTGGTCCTCGGAGAAGAAAGTCTTATCAGATTCAAACATTGAAGAAATTCTACAACAGAAGCTGGGGGAGCAAACTACACAAATTCAATCAAATGTCGATGCATCTGAAAATCCAAGCGACATTGATATTGACAAGCAGGAGGTGACTCAATCAAGCGAATCTGATAAAAATGAAACAACACATCAACAACTTAGGCGATCAAATAGAATCCGAAGGCCAAATCCTAAGTATGCAAATGCAGCTATTGTAGAAGATAGAGTTTACGAACCAGAGACATATGAAGAAGCATCACAAAACTCGGTTTGGCAGAAAGCGATGGAGGAAGAAATTATAGCCTTGGAGCATAATCAAACTTGGGAACTAGTGCCAAGACTAGGAGATATCAAACCCGTCTCTTGCAAGTGGGTCTATAAAATAAAGCGTCGACCGGATGGATCAATCGAGAGATACAAGGCTCGACTCGTGGCTCGAGGATTTTCTCAACAATATGGACTAGATTATGATGAAACATTCAGTCCAGTGGCAAAGATTACTACCGTACGAGTTCTGCTAGCACTCGCAGCAAGTAAAGATTGGAAACTGTGGCAAATGGATGTGAAGAATGCCTTCTTGCACGGAGAGCTAGACAGGGAGATTTATATGAACCAACCAAAGGGATTTGAGAGTGCAGCTAATCCTAATTATGTATGCAAGCTTAGAAAAGCTCTTTATGGACTGAAACAAGCACCGAGAGCTTGGTATGGTAAGATTGCTGAATTTCTTACCCAAAGTGGTTATTCAGTTGCGCATGCAGACTCAAGCCTATTCATCAAAGAAAGAGAAGGAAATTTGACAATTGTGTTGGTCTACGTGGACGATTTGATTATCACCGGGGACGATGAAAGAGAAATTTATCAAACAAGAGAAAATTTATCAATACGCTTTCAGATGAAAGAGCTAGGAGAGCTTAAACACTTCTTAGGCCTAGAAGTTGATCGCACAGATGAAGGACTGTTTCTCTGCCAACAAAAGTATACCAGAGACATGCTTCAGAAGTTCAACATGTTAGAGTGCAAGCAAGTTTCAACACCGATGGAGATAAATGCCAAGATTTGTGCACATGAAGGCAAAGAGTTGAACGATGAAACAACGTACCGACAACTAGTAGGTAGTCTTATCTACCTAACTTTAACTCGACCTGATATCTCTTATGCAGTTGGGGTTATGAGTCGATACATGCAAAGTCCAAAGAAGCCTCATCTGGATGCAGCTCGACGGATCTTGAGATATATCAAAGGTACAATCGACTATGGTCTTTTGTACAAAAGAAGCAAAGACTGCAAGCTAGTTGGATACTGTGATGCTGACTATGCAGGAGACCACGATACTCGGAGGTCAACCACTGGGTATGTGTTCAAGTTTGGTTCGGGAACAATTTCTTGGTGTAGCAAGAGACAACCAACAGTATCATTATCAACTACAGAAGCAGAGTATAGAGCAGCGGCTGGAGCAGCCCAGGAAAGTACATGGCTAAAACTCTTGATGGAAGATTTGCACCAGAAAATTGACTATCCAATATCACTTCTTTGCGACAACCAATCTGCGATTCGCCTTGCAGAAAATCCAGTGTTTCATGCTAGAACAAAGCATGTGGAGGTGCACTACCATTTCATTAGAGAGAAGGTCCTAAAGGAAGAAATTGAGATGCAGCAGATCAAGACAGATGACCAAGTGGCAGACTTGTTTACAAAAGGGTTGAATACTAGCAAACATGAGAGCTTTCGCTGTCAGCTCAACATGATGCAGCGAATGAGGACTAGTGCTGAGGGGGAGTGTTGAAATATCATCACTAGCCCAATAGAGTCAAGCCTAATTGTACGAGCCCAGTATATTTATTTTAGTAGAGATTTTAGGAGAAAGAGATGTAGATATTTTAGGAGAAAGATTCAATTTGTTAGGTCTAGATTCAAATCGGTTAGGTCTAGATTTAGATTGGTTAAATATAGATTGTTTACTCTTAGTATAAATACCCCCACCCTACCTAGGTTATTCATTCAAGAAATCTAAAAACAATAAAAAGCAGAAGTATTCTACAGAGTGTCTTGTATTCTCTTCTCGATTGGTCTTAATAAAGAGAGCGAGTGTTTCCCACAGTGAGTTGTGTTCTCGATTGGTCTTAAAGAGTGTTGAAATATCATCACTAGCCCAATAGAGTCAAGCCCAATAATTGTACTAGCCCAATAGAGTCAAGCCTAATTGTACGAGCCCAGTATATTTATTTTAGTAGAGATTTTAGGAGAAAGAGATGTAGATATTTTAGGAGAAAGATTCAATTTGTTAGGTCTAGATTCAAATCGGTTAGGTCTAGATTTAGATTGGTTAAATATAGATTGTTTACTCTTAGTATAAATACCCCCACCCTACCTAGGTTATTCATTCAAGAAATCTAAAAACAATAAAAAGCAGAAGTATTCTACAGAGTGTCTTGTATTCTCTTCTCGATTGGTCTTAATAAAGAGAGCGAGTGTTTCCCACAGTGAGTTGTGTTCAACATTTGGTATCAGAGCCATGCCCTAAACCTAACCATGCCAATAGAATCCTCAAATATCGAACAAAGAATGGCGAGCCTCGAAGGTGTAGTCAAAAGTGACTAAAGTGTCGAACAAATGGTGTACTTTGTTCGAGGGCTCCAGAGAAGGAGTCGAGCCTCAATTAAGGGGAGGCTATTCGAGGGCTCCATAAGCCTCAGGGGAGGCTTATAGTGTGCTTTGTTCGAGGGGAGGATTGTTGAGGATTATTGGGATTGGGAGTGTCCCACATTGGTTAATTTAGTGGAAGATAATGGGTTTATAAGTGAGGAATACTATCTTCATTGGTTTGAGGCCTTTTGGGGAAGCCCAAAGCAAAGCCATGAGAGCTTATGCTCAAAGTGGACAATATCATACCATTGTGGAGAGTCGTGATTCCTAACATCCCAGTCCTGAACCTATTGGTTGTTGGTGGATTGCTCGAGTTGCTCTCACGACAAGAGAGGGCCACTGCGTGCCGGTCGAGGAACGAACTAGAAACGGCTCCTTCAAAATTATATTTTGTTTCAAGATTGAGACATACAAAACAATAACCAAAATACAATTTAAATAAGAAATAAAAGAAATGTGAATTTTGAGGATAAACATAATTATGATATTAAAAAAAAATTGGTCTATGTAATTTTCATATTAAGTCCACGCTTTGAAAAAGCGACACTTCTGGGAAGTTTAAATGAAGCACATAACATCCATTTGCCTGGTGCCACAAGTCGGACCCTTCGCATATCAACATCAACAGCAACCTCAGTTAGTGCAATTCTTATCCGCTGCAATATTCATATCAATTGTTGCAACATAAGGAGTCATATTGTAGGAAAAGGATGAATGAAGGACGCTCAAATTGAACATTTTAGGATCAAACCTCGTGAAAGTCGAATTCTGGATCTCGAGCTTTTGAGAATCCATAAACATGGATCGTTGGCGATATGAACTCTACATCCGATCGGTCTCTTAGTATGCCTTTGAAAGTATCTGCGGTGTAGGAAAAGAGGCGGTAATGGGACGACGGGATTCTATAATCTTAAACTAAAAAATGATAAAAGATCAAAAAACAGACGTCTGAAACAGCCCACCCACCGCTAAGCTACCATGGGGGTGGATTCCCAAAACCTCTCCCTCATAGACGCGTTTTAAAACCTTGATGGGGAAGTCTAGAAGGGAAAGTCAAAAGAGGACAATATCTATTAACGGTGGGCTTGAGCTGTTACAAACGGTATCAGAGCCAGACAACGGGAGATGTGCTAGCGAAGACGCTAGCAGCTGTTACACGGACTAAATCCTAGAAGATTTTATGGCATGGCATGAGTGAAGGTTGTAGTATGATGCTGATGTGAGTGTGAGATATAGGTGGGAGAGGGCGAAGGGATTTGGGTCAAACCTAGATATTCGGCAGCATCCTTTGGCAAATTCATGACAACTTGTGTAATTTTTGGAGCTTTCTCACTTGCAAACATAGCGCTGATGAACCTCCTTCCTTCCATGTTAAAAACCTTGAAAGTGGTAAAACAGAGTAATGAATGAGAAGGAATACTACCTCGTAAGCCTGACGCTATAAAGATGCAGATTAACAATTGAGGAGAATATCATTCTGTTAGGAACCACGAACCTCCACAATGGTATGATATTGTCCACTTTGAGCATAAGCTCTCGTGGCTTCGCTTTTGGTTTTTCCAAAAGGCCTCATACCAATGGAGATGTATTCCTTACTTATAAACCCATGATCGTCCCCTTAATTAGCTAACGTGGGACTCCCTCCCAACGATCCTCAACACATTCTACCCTTTTCCATCGGATGAGAAAACATGATCAAAGTTGCAAATTTTAAGGATATCATACCTCAATCTTCCTCTCGAGCTTATTGAGAACACTATTTCTTTCTAGATATTCAACCGCATTTGGGTTCAAATCATTGGCATATACTTTCTTTACTATTCTTGCGGCAGATATGGATATTGGACCGACACCAGCAAAGACATCACCTGTTGATTCCCATTTCAGAACAAGTGGTCAATTATTGCTCTATAAGAGTCTTCGATGGCAGAAAGTAAACTTCAGAAAATATTCATAAAACTAAGACAGAGAAGTTCTAAGTGAATCTAGGACAAACATACAAACAACATCTTTGCACGTAAAGCCACTTAGTAGCCTGTGTCTCTCGGTTGCGAGCCTTGAATTCCAGTACCTACAAGGAAGGAGAGATTAAAAATCCTTCCCAAAATTTTGAACTTCTAATCTTAACAAATTCCTTTAATCATAATTCATCTATGAGTTTTAAGAATCTTTTCAAGAGATTTTCACCTTAGTTGCCTTAATCATCGTGTTCGAATTCAAAATCAGTTCCGAACACCCCTTTAATCATTCAAAATCAATTTAACCTTAATTTTACACACTTAAACATGATTTTCATACCATCAAAATTGATTTTGAACGATTAAAAACATGTTTGAGAGTGATTTGCAGATGACTAACGATTTCAACGTCACCTCCAAACATATCCTAAAATCGCGTTGCATGACTATTCCAAATATTGTTATTCTGATGCAACTTATCATGATACTTGATAAAAAGGAAAGAAATATCAACTAATTTTATACTAGCTTTTGCGGAGAGAAGAACTAGAAACGAAATATCAACTAATTTTATACTAGCTTTTGCGGAGAGAAGAACTTACACTGTTGCTAAGTCCAAATGAAATCGTAAACCATTCTCAACTACAGTGGTCACAAGGGAGTGGTTCCCAGCTAAAACTTCAAGTTGCATTGTCCTGTAATCATTGTTGATGACATCAATCTTATTCACTACTGTTTGCATCTTTGGCTTATTTTTATCCAAAACAACCTGAATGGGAAGGCTACTTTCTTATGAGAACAAAATTGAATTCCATTATATTTGATACAAGACATGTAAACTAATTTACCTTGGCTATAAGCTTCTTGTATGGGAGATGTTCATCTCTAAGGTTTAGGTGTGCAATATGTCCAACGGTTTCAAAGGCTGAAGGAATAACCATATCCTTTGGAAGCAAGGCCTCCAAAACCTGAAAGCAGTGCATAGGACTTTCAGTCGTGAATTTTAACAGCCAATTTGTGCAATCTGACATTTATCAGGCAGGGAAGAACAGTATACTGATATCGTTTAGCCAAAATAATAAAGCTTTATCCGACTCGGGAAAGGGGTATATGGTTTAGTCGGGAGCTTGCAAATGCAAAATAATTATTGAAACTATAGCTTTTTTAACATAAAAGTCAGTAGAATGTGTAAAGCAGACAACAACTTATAGAACAAAAGATACATATGCGTAATGGTGAAGATTTTATGTTGATAAAGATTAACAGTATCTGTAACGGCCCAAATCCACCGCTAGCAGATATTGTCCTCTTTGAGTTTTCCCTTTGAGGGGACAGGCTTTCCCTCAAGGCTTTAAAACGCGTCTGCTAGGGAAAGGTTTCCACACCCTTATAAATGTTGGTTTGTTCTCCTCCCCAACCAATGTGGGACATCACAATCCACTCCCCATCTGGGCCCAGCGTCTTCGTTGGCACTCTTTCCTTCCTCCAATCGATGTGGGACCGCCCCCAAATCCACCCCCCTTTGGGGCCTAGCATCCTTACTGGCACACCGCCTCGTGTCAACCCCCTTCGGGGAACAGCGAGAAGCCTGGCAAATTGTCCGATGTCTGGCTCTGATACCATTTGTAACAGCCCAAATTCACCGCTAGCAGATATTGTCCTCTTTGGGTTTTCCCTTTCAAGCTTCCCCTCAAGGCTTTAAAACGCGTCTGCTAAGGGAAGGTTTCCACACCCTTATAAATGGTGGTCTGTTCTCCTCCCCAACCAATATGGGACATCACAGTATCGATATTTTTTTCTAGTTCAACGAAATGTAGGAATGGAAGATTCGAACTTCTGACTCCTTAGTCAACGGTATATGACACTAAACCAGTTGTGCTCGGCTTAGGTACCACCACGTTGACATATATATGTTAATATGAGTGTGTATGTGTAGCGTGTATGCCCGTGTCCAATTTTTAGAAGATAATATGTTGTCACATTTCCACCTCTTAGCTTCAGAAACATTCAGATAACCAATCAACCATGTAAAGAAATGATTGAACGCTAAGTTTACTGAAACTAGAATTCTTCAATCAAAATGAATTGACACATAGAAAACTGAATAGATTTAGAGACTAAAACTAAGCAATCAAAATGAAACGATATAATGAATTAGATTATAAATAGAAAACAAATAACAAGAACACCAAAATTATTCCTTTTGTGAATACCTCATTCATCTGCCAGTAATCATAATATAAAGTAAGCCTGCACCTCACAAGCTCAATTGTTGATTTCATGCTTTCTTGGGTTTCTCCTTTCAGCAGAGCCTGAAGTACAAGAAACCAGAAAATTTGATTCTAAAATACAAGAGCGACCACGATAAGGTTCTCATCAACTTCAGGCTAGAATATCAAAATGTTGAACAAATTCTCATACAAAATGCTAAACAAGTAACTATCAAAACACTAAACGCAGATCAAGAAACATGAATGAAGTAACAAATTCTCATATCAAAATGTTGAATAAGTAATTATCAAAACACTGAACGCGGATCAAGAATAATGAATGAAGTAACAAATTCTCATATCAAAATGTTGAATAAGTAATTATCAAAACACTGAACGCGGATCAAGAATAATGAATGAAGTAACAAATTCTCATATCAAAATGTTGATGTTGAACAAGTAACTATCAAAACACTAAATGCATGCAGATCAAGAATCATGAATGAAGTAACAAATTCTCATATCAAAATGTTGAACAAGTAACTATCAAAACAGCTACCTTAATCGCCTCTGGAAGCTCTTCTACGCCTTTGTCTCCATATCGTTCGTCCAAAAGCAACAATCTAGTTGAACCCCTCCATTTTCCACCCTTAAACTCATCTCCCAACAATCCCTTCATATCATCCACTTCCAGTTCCTCACTCTCCACGACCTCCACAACGGCAAATTCACTTTTCCCCATTCTTTTAATCCCCTCGTCTTTCCCTTCTTCCTTCTTCTCCTTCTTTTTCTTCGGCCTCGACATTTTCGCCAAATGTCTGAAGTTCACATACCCTTTTGAATCGAACGTTTTCACTAGCTTTTCCCTGTACAACACGGGACTCAGAGGCTCCCCATCGTCCTCAGCTTTCCCATAAATTCGCCGGTGCAGCGAATCAATATCAACTCCATCTCCGTCGTCGGAATAGCTCCGATTCTGCTCTCCCACAAGCTCTGCCAGTTCGGCCTCGACCTCGTCGCCGGGAACTCTTGCAATGTTGCGAATCCGTGGCCAGTTCAAGAGATGGCCACGCAGCCGATTCTCAAGCTCGAAACAACCTCTAGAAGGAATTCGAAGTGCAGCAATGTCAAAAATCCGAATGAAGGCATCTTCATCTAATATAACTTCTTCACTTTTCTCGTTCTGTAACCGCTCCCTCTCCGGATTTCCAATTACGGTCTTGATAACAGGTTGAGAGTTATCAAGAGGAAGCTGTCTGGATACCGATGGAAATGGATGGTAGCCCTTGCGAAGAGAAGGTCCATAGGAGAAAGTGTGGGCGGAGAATTGAGATTGAGAGTGGACTATGGTGGAGGAGAACGGTGGGGTGAAGTATATCGGGAGAAAGCGCTTCGACGGGAAGATGAATTTCGGTGTAAAGGCGGTGAGAGGAAGCGACTGTGGCCTCAGGAAAAGCTTTGTAACCATAATCTCACGGGCAAGTGATTCAAGCTACTGGTTCGAAGTATCCATGGCGACTACGGATTGAAGGTAGAAGATAAACCACAATTTGAGGAGGGTTTAAGATTTAGACAAGGCTTCTTTTGTTTGGGCCGTCTTTGGCGGTAAATATGGGCTGCTCGGTTCTGTTTTTTTTTTTTTTTTTTTTTTTTTTTTTTTTTTTTTTTTTTTTTTTTTTTTTTTTTTTTTTTTTTTTTTTTTTT